CAGAATGCACAGCTGAGATATGCCCAAGTGTAACTTTATGTCTGACTCAAAACGGAAAGCAATTATGAACAATTTAGTGCTCCATTTAGATTTAATCTAAAGTAATCGAGTAATCTAAAAATTCGGCGCGATTGCCGCGGACCCGCTAGCCGCGGACCCGACCGCGCAGCACCCACCGCCGTCTACAATCGCTGTTACCGCTGTTTTATTATCATCACTCCCACACCGTCACCGGGGCTTCATAGTAATGTGTCCGAATAGAGCAGCCCTCTCGGACACACACATGCTGTTACCGCTGTAACATGCTGTTAACAGCGATTGTAGACGGCGGTGGGTGCTGCGCGGTCGGGTCCGCGGCTAGTGGGTCCGTTGCTGGCGGGTCCGCGGCAATCGCGGCGAATTCTTAGATTACTCGCCAGAGTGGCGAGTGGTCTTCATAAATTACTCGACAAATACAAAAATTACTCGCATTTGGCGAGTAAAACAGCCTTATTTCAACCCCTGTGTGTGTGTGTGCGTGTGTGTGTGTGTGTGTGTGTGTGTGTCCGACAGTCCGAGAGGGCTGCTCTCCTGAAGATTCACATTCAGAACGTTCATAACTTGTAGTCCTGCATTTTTAAACCAGTCGTTACAGTTCAGTTAGAGTAAGGTACCGGAAAAAGTATCGTTGGATACCGAGACCGAACACCAGGCACCGGCACCGATATCGGTTCAGATGTGAAAGGTACCCAACCCTAGTTGCCGTGGTGATGATTAGGATTGTGATATATCTGTAATCATTATGAATGTGATGCCAGGGGAAGAGCAAGTGTGCGTGTAAGGACAACTTCGTGGGGGACGGAGTGACGTGTGCCGTCAAGGAGCTGCCAATCAACCGCTGTCTCCATGACAACGGCTTGTGTCACGCGGACGCCACGTGTACCGACCTCCACTTTGAGGGTACGATGACATCATCTTCATAACAGCAAACACCCCGCTTCATATTCCCATTGTGACTGTGTGTGTGTTTGTGTGTCACTGTGTGTGCGTGTGTGCGTCCGTGTGTGCGTGCGTGCGTGTGTGCGCACATGTGTGTGTGTGTGTGTGTGTGCGTCCAGACGCCACGGTGGGTGTGTTTCACGTGCGTTCAGATCAGGGAGTGTACAAGCTGACCTACGCCAGCGCTGTGGCCGCCTGCACCGAGCGCGGCGCCGCCGTCGCCACGTACACACAGCTGTCCTACGCCCAGCAGGTTATTATTATATATATTATTTATATATTATATATATATTATATTATTATAACCTGTGCTATAACCTGTGTGTGTCTCCAGGCGGGGTACAACCTGTGTGCGGCCGGCTGGCTGGACGCGGCGCGGGTTTCCTACCCCACCACGTACTCCAACCCCAACTGCGGCTTCGGCCACGTGGGCCTCGTGGACTACGGCGTCCGCAAGAACCTCAGCGAGACCTGGGACACGTTCTGCTACCGGGTCAAAGGTCAATCACAGTATAATATATCATAATATAATCATATCAAATATAGTTAAACCTTCTGACACAGATGGCCGCAGGGCCGTCCGTCTTATTCCAGTGAGGTGCAGTGATGATGAAGTGTGGGTTGTCATGGTTACTGGATGGTGTTGTGTGTGTTCCCTGCGTGCCAGTGGTGGCGTGTGCGTGTAAACCCGGGTACGTCGGCGACGGTTACGCCTGCGCAGGGAACCTCCTTCAGGTCCTCATCTCTAGACCGCTCTTCTCCAACTTCCTCACCGTGAGTGAATAATCACACGTTCATAATCACACGTTCATAATCACACGTTCATAATCACACGTTCATAAACAGGTTATGAACTCATGAACGTTTCCTTCCCTCAGCAAATCCTGAACTGCTCTCAGCACTCTGCGTCTGGGAAGCGCTTTGTGGAGCGGCTCACAGACCTCAGCAGCAAATCCACTCTGTTTGTTCCGGACAACGCCGGCCTGCTGGACAACCAGGTACACACACACACACACACACGCGCACACACGCACACGCACACACACACACACACACACACACTGTCAGGTACACACACACACACACACACACACACACACACTGTCAGGTACACACACACACACACACACACACACACACACATACACACACACACACACACACACACATACACACACGCACGCACATGCACACACGCACGCACACACACACACACACACACACACACACACACACACAACTAACTAAGAAGCTAATGGAGTATACTGTATATTGCTGATACTGCACATTTGTGGACAATAAAGTTCATGATGATGATGATGATGCTGATGATGATGATGATGATGATGATGATGATGATGATGATGATGCTGAGCTCCTGCCAGGTGTCCAGGTGTGATTGTGGTGTTGTCCTGCAGACGCTGAGTGAGAGGGATGTGGAGTACCACCTGGCGGAGGGCCAGGCGGTGGCGCTCAGCGACATGAAGAACGGCGGGAAGATGGGAACGCGCCACGGCAGCCTGAGCATACAGGGCGTGGTCGACTTCCTCGACCCCACCGTCCTGGTGAGACCCTAACCTTGACCCCTGACCCTAACCTTGACCCCTAACCTTGACCCCTAACCTTGACCCCTGACCCTAACCTTAACCTCTGACCCTAACCTTGACCCCTGACCCTAACCTTAACCCCTGACCCTAACTTTAACCCCTGACCCTAACCTTGACCCTAACCTTGACCCCTGACCCTAACCTTAACCCCTGACCCTAACCCTTACCTTAACCCCTGACCCTAAGCCTACTCCTAACCTTAACCCCTGGCCCTAACCTTAGCCCTTGACCCTAACCTTAACCCCTGGCCCTAACCTTAACCCCTGACCCTAACCCTTACCTTAACCCCTGACCCTAACCCTACTCCTAACCTTAACCCCTGACCCTAACCCTTACCTTAACCCCTCCTCCTAACCTTAACCCTAAACCCTGACCCTAACCCTAAACCTAACCTTGACCCCTGACCCTAACCCTAACCTTGACCCCTGACCCTAACCTTGACCCCTGACCCTATCCACACTGTAGTTACACGTTGTTACTTTAACACCTTTTACACAGTACTTACTTTTAAATACAGTAAACATCGAATGTTATTAATGTTATGACTTCATTGATATTAAATCTTCAGTCCTCCTGCTACGTCAACGACCGCTTCATCATCGACTCGGACATCGTGGCTGCTAACGGGGTCATCCATGTTCTCCAGGGGCCCCTGAAGGCCCCCCCAGCGCCCCAGGTCCTGGTGAGACCCGCACCACTCACCACTCGTAGTACGGTCCGAATGTATGTGGACTCACAACCACGCAGAAAAAATAAGTACGACAAAGTACGCTCAAAAAGCGGCTTGAGTCTTTATCCCAAGCCGCTTCCATGAGGCTGAGTAGCTTCAGGAAGCAGAGAGGTCAGTGTGGTGGAGGTCACCGCCGGTATCCCATCTCTCATAACGTCTGGTGACCTTCTCCTCAGCACCGCCCGGGCCAGAAGGCCGGGTTGGGAGTGGGCCTCCTGCTCCTGCTGGTCCTCCTGCCGGCCATCCTCTTCGTCGGCTACCGCTTCCACGCACACAAAACCAAACCCTTCAAATTCAGCTACTTCAAGGTCACACTGCACTCCCGCCTCCTCCTCCTGTTCCATGTTGTCATATAATACGTCATACGTGTTGTGGTTTTCACATGTGGTTTGAACGAAGCCTTCCCATGTGACAGGACGAAGGGGAGGAGGAGGACTCGACCCCGACGCCCCCCCACTCCAACTTCAGCAACCCGTCCTACGCCCCGCCGGCCGAGCCCTCGCCGCCCGGCGCCACGGTACGCTGTCCCTGCAGGGCTTCTAACAGTAGCATGTTAGCATGTTAGCATGTCATGGTAATCAGCTGTTGGTTAGGGAGAGTAGCATGTTAGCATGTCATGGTAATCAGCTGTTCTTGGTTCCTAGGCTGAGGACGCGGAGCCGGTGGCGAACCTCAGCTTTGACCTCCTCCAGGACTGACTTCCTCCACATCCCCTCCTGATCCCCCTCCACATCCTCCTCCTGATCCCCCTCCACATCCTCCTCCTGATCCTCCTCCTGATCCTCCTCCTGATCCCCTCCACATCCTCCTCCTGATCCTCCTCCTGATCCCTCTCCTGATCCTCCTCCTGATCCCTCTCCTGATCCTCCTCCTGATCCCCCTCCTGATCCCCCTCCTGATCCTCCTCCTGATCCCCTCCTGATCCCCCTCCTGATCCCTCTCCTGATCCTCCTCCTGATCCCCCTCCACATCCTCCTCCTGATCCCCTCCACATCCTCCTCCTGATCCTCCTCCTGATCCCCTCCACATCCTCCTCCTGATCCCCTCCACATCCTCCTCCTGATCCCCTTCACATCCTCCTCCTGATCCCCTCCACATCCTCCTCCTGATCCCCTCCACATCCTCCTCCACATCCTCCTCCTGATCCCCCTCCACATCCTCCTCCTGATCCCCCTCCACATCCTCCTCCTGATCCCCCTCCTGATCCCCCTCCACATCCCCCTCCTGATCCCATCACCAGAACCTGAAGCCTGCTGCAGTATTTGTGTCCAGAGCCAATGAAATATTAAAAACCATAAAGGACTAACGATGATGTCATCCTGGTCTCATTGTGTTAAAGGGAATATTAGTTGTGCTTCAGCTGGGTCTGGGTTCAAGGCCCCTAGAGTCGTGGGTCGTCAGCTGGGTCTGGGTTCAAGGCCCCTAGAGTCGTGGGTTGTCAGCTGGGTCTGGGTTCAAGGCCCCTAGAGTCGTGGGTTGTCAGCTGGGTCTGGGTTGGGTTCAAGGCCCCTAGAGTCGTGGGTTGTCAGCTGGGTCTGGGTTGGGTTCAAGGCCCCTAGAGCCGTGGGTTGTCAGCTGGGTCTGGGTTCAAGGCCCGCTGAGAGAGATCTCTGTGGCGCTGTCTTATTTCTATGTGATGTGAATTGTGAAGGACACATGCAAATTCTGTCCGTTTCACACCGGGCATCTCTTTGGCGCAACGGAGAGAGCCGTTCACTGGGAGCTCTGGGGAGCGCGGGTTCGAGTCCCGGCAAGGGAGATCTCCGGGGGATCATGGGCTCATTTCTACATCACCTGAATTGTAATGTCAAATACAAGTGCGGCTTCCCAGCACATCACAGCGGGCGTCCAGGTGGCGCAATGCGGAGCGCTGCCGGTTGTTGACCCTGCGGGTCAGGGGTTCGAGTCCTGTCAAGGGACATCTTTGTGTATTGTGATGTCAAATACAAGTGACCGGGTTCAAGTCCCAGTGAGGGAGTGTGCTTTAGACGCATCTTATTTCTACATGAATTGTACTGTCAAATACAAGTGGGGCTTTCCGGTAGCTCACAGCGGGCGTCCAGGTGGCGCAACGCAGAGCGCTGCAGGTTATCAGATCTGCAGTCCAGGGCTCGAGTCCCGGCGAGGGACGTCAACGAGGTTTCCTCTTGTGTGTTGTGATCAAATACAACATCTCTTATTTGTAAGTCCTGTGAATCGTAAGGTCAAGTATAACTTCCCACCACACCTCAGCTGGCGTCTTGGTGGTGCAGCGGTAAGGCTGTTGGTCAACACTCTGTAGACCAGAGGTTCGAGTCCCGGCGAGGGGACATCTTTGTTGTTTCCTCTTATGTACTGTGATGTCAAATACAAGTGTGACTTCCCGACAGGTCATAGTGGAGGTCTTTGTGGTGTGATGGATAGAGCCGTGGTCTGCTGCTCTGACTGACCTGGTATCGAGTCCAGGTGGTGGGACTGGGTTGGGGATGTAGCATGACACTCCTGACATACGGAGACAGTCAGGACACAGGTGTCCCAGTTAGGCAGGTCTCCGACATCCTGTTCGCCGGGTCTCCGACCGCCGTGATACCACGGCAGATGGTTTCCCGGTGAAAAGGATGTTGGAGACCCAATGTTTTGGTCACTCGGTGAACAGAATGTTGGTCTTGGCTGGTCTCAACTGTCTTGTTCACTCCTACGTCCGGTTCGCTGGGTCTCCCACCGACCGCCGTTGTACCACGGCAGGCGGTGGGAGACCCAGCGAACGGGGTCTTCGGTCTCCGACACACTCATTCATACACAATCACTCATTCATACACACATTCACTCTCTACATGAATTGTACTGTCAAATACAAGGTGGACTTTCCAGCACATCACAGCGGGTGTCCAGGTGGCGCAACGCAGAGCGCTGCAGGTTGTAAGATCTGCAGCCCAGGGTTCGATTCCCGCTAAGGGACATCTCAGTGGTTTCCTCTTGTGTGTTGTGACTTCCCTACATGTCTTTAATTTCTAAGTCCTGTGAATCGTAAGGTCAATCGTGTTGGTCAACACTCGGTGGACCAGGGTTCGAGTCCCGGCAAGGGACATCTTTGTGATTTCCTCTTGTGTATTGTGATGTCAAATACAAGTGTGACTTCCCGACAGGTCATAGCAGAGCGTCTTGGTGGCGTGATGGATAGAGCGGTGGTCTGCTGCTCTGACTGACCTGGTATTGAATCCTGGTAGTGGGACTGGTTGGGGATGCCAGCCCTGTTGGAGATGTAGTGTGACACTCCTGACATACGGCGACAGTCAGGGACACAGGTGTCCCAGTTAGGCGGGTCTCCAACTTCCTGTACGCCGGGTCTCCGACCGCTGTGGTACCACGGCAGTGCACTTGGCTGGTCTCAATTGTCTTGTTCACTCCTACGTCCGGTTCGCTGGGTCTCCCACCGACCACCGTTGTACTGCGGTGGGAGACCCCGCGAACGGGGTCACACACACACGTTGCAGTGAACAAGACATTGGACCCGGCGACCAGGATATTGGAGTCGTCTGTGTCCTGACTGTTGTGGTATGTCAGGAGTGTAACATTACATCTCCAACTGGCATCCCCAACCAGTCCCACTACCAGGATTAGATACCAGGTCAGTCAGAGCAGCAGACCACGGCGCTATCCATCATGCCACCAAGACCTCCACTATGCCGGTCGGGAAGTCGCACTTGTATTTGACATCACAATACACAAGAGGAAAACCCAAAGATGTCCCTTGCCGGGACTCGAACCCCTGGCCTGCAGGACAACAAACTGCAGCTCTCTATGTTGCGCCACCTGGACACCCGCTGGGATGTGCTGGAAAGTCCCACTTGTATTTGACATTACAATTCATGTAGAAATAAGATGAAACAGCAGAACACTCCCTCACTGGGACTTGAACCCGCATCTCCAGAGCGTTAAGGACGTGCCCCTCCACTGCACCACCAGGACCACAGAGGAGAAGTGGTGAGATGTTATACTGGACATTACTTACATGACTTAGAACTAAGAGGATGACTTTCGCATGGTGAATTTTCATGGAAGACAGCGGGACTTGAGCCCATGATGTCTCCAGTGTGGACTTGAACCCATGATGTCTCCAGTGTGGACTTGAACCCATGATGTCTCCAGTGTGGACTTGAACCCATGATGTCTCCAGTGTGGACTTGAGCCCATGATGCCTCCAGTGTGGACTTGAGCCCATGATGTCTCCAGTGTGGACTTGAACCCATGATGTCCCAGTGTGGACTTGAACCCATGATGTCTCCAGTGTGGACTTGAGCCCATGATGTGTCCAGTGTGGACTTGAGCCCATGATGTCTCCAGTGTGGACTTGAGCCCATGATGTCTCCAGTGTGGACTTGAACCCATGATGTCTCCAGTGTGGACTTGAACCCATGATGTCTCCAGTGTGGACTTGAGCCCATGATGTCTCCAGTGTGGACTTGAACCCATGATGTCTCCAGTGTGGACTTGAGCCCATGATGTCTCCAGTGTGGACTTGAGCCCATGATGTCTCCAGTGTGGACTTGAACCCATGATGTCCCCAGTGTGGACTTGAACCCATGATGTCTCCAGTGTGGACTTGAGCCCATGATGTGTCCAGTGTGGACTTGAGCCCATGATGTCTCCAGTGTGGACTTGAACCCATGATGTCTCCAGTGTGGACTTGAGCCCATGATGTCTCCAGTGTGGACTTGAACCCATGATGTCTCCAGTGTGGACTTGAACCCATGATGTCTCCAGTGCGGACTTGAGCCCATGATGTGTCCAGTGTGGACTTGAGCCCATGATGTCTCCAGTGTGGACTTGAACCCATGATGTCTCCAGTGTGGACTTGAACCCATGATGTCTCCAGTGTGGACTTGAACCCATGATGTCTCCAGTGTGTTGACCAGCAGCGTCTCCACTGCACCACAGAGACCAGGAGGAGGTCAGAGGTTATACTTGACTTTACAATTCACGTGACTTCAAAATAAGAGACTTCAAATAAACAGACAAAGTGTATTTCCATGGCAACGGACCGCCCCAGGACTTGAACCCGCGTCTCCTGTGCAGACCACACGCAGTTCTCTCCCCTGCGCAGTTGTATTTGACATTACAATTCAGGTGACGTAGAAATAATCGCTGGCGTCCCCAAGAGCTTTCTTCTGACATCTCCTAGTCCCGGCCAGGGGCGGTTTGGGGCCGTTTTTGGGGGGGCTCAGCCTCCCCAAATTCAACCCCCCCCCCCCAAACTAAGAGGACATGTTCACCTTTCCAACGGTACCAATAGTATTTTGGTACTCCAGATGAACCCGAGATATGTCCTAATTAATACAGACGTGAGTCATTTCAAATCTTTTATTTTTACGATTCCTTCCGTGTGCATTTTATACAGATTTCACATAAATAATTTGTTCTTAACTATACTCTCAAAATTACAAATAATGTTAATACCTGTCGTTATGACGACGTATTAGAAATCACTGGAAGGGAAAACATTGATAATGCTGATCCCATGAAGTCCTACAGTATATGTTACACTTATCATATCATTAACACTTTAACGCCAAGAAATATAACTTGTTATATAATAATACAAAACGTGATGATTAGACTGATTAGTGTACTTTGCAGAAAGATATAAATAAATGACTAATTGCTTCTCCTTCATCACTTCATCACTATGCAGTCATTTCCCTTTTGGACCAAAGCCAAAAATTAAACACAACCATAAAGCAGCGGCGGTTACCAACACAATACCAAATCTAAAATAGAAGAGCGGTGACGAATTACAGCCGATAACGCTAAGCAATGATCACATGTTCTGTAGGAGGCTCTCGGATAACCATGTGACCGCAAGGTCATGTGACCGCAAGGTCAGCCGCCATCTTGGAACGCTTTGATGTAAGAATAATTATAATAAGACACCAACACAACAGTTATTACAACCTTGTGGACCAATAGGAGGTGAGGAGACGGCGGCGGGGAGCCTCAGTTCTTCTTCATGGAGTCCAGGATGCGCAGCAGGTGGATGAAGAGGTTGATGATGTCCAGGTAGAGGTTGATGGAGGCCAGGATGTGCTCCTCAGGGGATAGCTGCTGCATCAGCAGGTGGGTGTCGTAGACGATGAAGCCGCAGAAGACCAGCGCCCCCCCGCACGCAAACACCAGCTCTGTGGTCTCGTTGGTGTAGAACAGCTGAGGACAATTAACATTATATATATATATATATATATATATATATATATATATATATATATATACACACGCTACTGTAATAATGTTATTATATAGTTATAGTTATATCAACTCACCCTCATCACACCACCGATGATCAGAATCATCAGAGCAGCAAACAACCTGCAGGGAGACCAAGCTGTCACTCAAACTAAAATATAAATAATACACTGAGAGATAAATAATAATATACTGAGATAAATAATAATATACTGAGAGATAAATAATGATATACTGAGAGATAAATAATGATATACTGAGATAAATAATGATATATTGAGACTCATCTCTCATCTAATGACAACTAATAACATGATAACACACGAATATTGTAGACCAGTACATGTAGACCGGTACACGTAGACCAGTACATGTAGACCAGTACATGTAGACCGGTACACGTAGACCAGTACATGTAGACCAGTACATGCAGTACATGTAGACCAGTACATGCAGTACACGTAGACCAGTACATGTAGACCAGTACATGCAGTACATGTAGACCAGTACATGCAGTACATGTAGACCAGTACATGCAGTA